ATGAAGATTACTTATTGAAGTAATATGAGATCAAAGGGATTGGAAGAGAGATGATTTTCATTCATCATCAATTGAGTGTAAAGCAACACCTCCATATATAGAGCCATACTCTATTACATCACAAAAGAGACTAGCCATCACTATTCTACCTACTACAACTTGACACAATAGGTGGCAGATATGTGACTTGCACGACCACACTTTACTTAGCTTATAGAATGTAACTTAAGCTAGGATTAATTACATCAAAAACGTAGGACTAATGACAACAAAAGTATCAATACCAATAATCTAATACTTATGTATTAATGTGCACCAGATCCCATTTTTAGTGCCATTCCTTTATTCGATTGTGGAGGATAATTATACTTGGTTGAATAGAATTTTTATTCTTCTAGTTAATCTGAAAATGTTATGCAAGAAACTTCTAAATGAGTACCATTGAACCCTTTTAATTAATAATTAATTACATAGTTTCTTAACGGTTTTTAAAATTGAAAATTCCGCCTTTATGATTTGTGATGGTATTTTTAGAGTTCAGAGTGTAAGGAGGGATGTCAAGCTCCTAGATGGGCATTTTCCGCGGATCGGGTGCCCAATTTGTTGGTATCACTTACCCAACGTAGGCCATTGATGGGAGTTTCCACCTTTGCCTCCTTCATAAATGCCAAGAACAACTGTATGATGCATGATAATAGTTTCTCCTGTTGAGCCCCTTTAAATAATAATTAATTACATAGTTTCTTAACAGTTTTTAAAATTCATGACGATATTTTTAGAGTTCTAAGTGCAAGGATGCATGTCAACTTCCTAGATTGGCCTTTTTCGCTGTATGGGTGACCGAATCTTTCATATCACTACCCAAAGTTGGTCATGGATGGGAGTTTCCACCTGCACCTCCTTCATAAATGCTTGGAAAGACAATACTCTATGAAGATTATTTATTGAAGTAATAAGAGATCAAAGGGATTGGAAGAGAGATGATTTTCATTCGTTATCAATTGAGTGTAAAACAACACCTCCATATATAGAGCCATACTCTATTACATCACAAAAGAGACTAGCCATCACTATTCTCCCTGCTACAACTTGACACAATAGATGGCAGATATGTGACTTGCACGACTGCGCTTTACTTAGCTTATAGAATGTAACTTAAGCTAGGATTAATTACATCAAAAACATAGGACTAATGACAACAAAAGTATCAATACCAATAATCTAATACTTATGAATTAATGAGCACCAGATCCCATTTTTAGTAGTATTTCTTCAATAATTTTTTAAAGAGCAAGTCTGATTGTGGAGGATAATTATATCTGGTACATTAACCTTTTTATTCTTCTAGTTGATCAAAAAATGTTATGTAAGAACTTAGAAATGAGTACCATTGAGCCCTTTTAATTAATAATAAACTATATAGTTACTTTCTTTTAATTAATTACGTAGTTTCTTAACTGTTTATAGAATTCATAATACCGTCTTTGTGATTTATGACGGTATTTTAAGACTTTGAAGTGCAATGAGGCATGTCAACCTCCTAGATGGGTTTGTTTGGTCGAACGGGTGGCTGACTCGTTGATATCACTTACCCAATGTGGGTCATTGATGGGAGTTTCCGCCTGCACTTCCTTCATAAATGACTGGCACAACGGTAATGATGCATGATAATAGCTTCCCCTGTTGTATCCTCTATGACGATTAGTTATGAATTAATGAGCACCAGATCCCATTTTTGTGGTATTTCTTTATTCGATTGTGGAGGATAATTATACTTGGTTGAATAGAATTTTTATTCTTCTAGTTAATCTGAAAATGTTATGCAAGAAACTTCTAAATGTGTACCATTGAACCCTTTTAATTAATAATTAATTACATAGTTTCTTAACGGTTTTTAAAACTGAAAATTCAGCCTTTATGATTTATGATGGTATTT